AGATTAGGTAAATCTAAAAAACAAAGTCTTGCTTAAATGAATTTTGAATCGTTTAAATTCACTGTTCTTCTTAGTAGCACTTACTAGCTAGATTTAATGAGGACGGAACTGGGCTTGTAATTCAGTTTGTACAAGTATAAATATACTGACGAATATGGTCTCTCAAAGCTGCCAATCCATAATCTACCGTCTCTCACTGTAATGCTCTGATTTCTCAAGCTGTTATGAACGATCTATCTAAAATCTCGGTTTGAATAAACAGTACCGATTTTAAAAATTTTGTGAATTTGTTTGGCACTTCAATTATTCTCATCTCTAAACATATGTTCACGATGTCAAATGTTTTTCATTCACAGTGGAATAATTCGTTAGGTGAAATTTGTCGATGATGTCGTGCCAAGTGACCGGTTTAATAGACATCTCTGGATGATGATTAGGAAATTTCTGTTTATTTCGACACATTTTCATGAGGTCTAGTGAGTTTTAAGATTCATATTTGGTCTTCTGAAAAGTTTATATACTTCGTGAAAAGGAAAAATGTAGTGTCATTGAACGACTTTTTAAAGAAAGAGATTAGGCTACGACAATCTAGGATACAAGTTCATCGTTGATTACTTGAAAATCTTTGGTTTTATCGAAAAACTTTACTGGAAGATGGACAAAGTGTCATGTCCACAAGATATTTTACTTGGAAATTTAACATGAGAGTCTCTGGGATGCTAAGAGTTAACCATTTCATACGAACACTAACTGGCTAGTGCTCTTTCTGTAACATCTTTCGACTGATTGCATTCCTTAGCAATCATTATTAACATTTCACTATTGTGGCTGGAAAACCATAGCAGTTTGAAATTTAAAAAATAACTATTGAGGTTATATGATGATTAGAAGTATTTGAATTATAGTACCAACAAGGAATCCGAGAAATAACGCAAGTGGATCAAGAAGTACTCGATAAGCACGAACGAATGTATTGTATTTGAAATTCGAAATCAAGCATTCAAGAAGTATAAGGGAATCATTAGTTTATTCAAACACCACAGGTTAGATAAGACATGCGCGCTTATGTTCAGTCGAAATACAAATTGATTGTCGGGGTAAAGAATAGTTCTAAATATTTTAAAAAATTTAAAAATACACTGATATCCAAAAAATATTATTATCTGGTTATCCAACCAATAATTGTTACTCAGTAATTAAGTATGAATTACATTAGGTAGACAAAATGACTAAGAAGATAAAATAGTCGCTAGGTTGAACAAGTTGAGGGTTCCAATTATATGAGAATATTGTTTTATTCTTTCTAAATCGACCACGTACGGTTTATTTGAAAGACAATATTCAGTTCTAGAGAAAATACTAAAAACAAAGGTATCAAGAATTTGTGGTGTTTGTATGAACTAACGATTCCTTTATACTTGTTGAATGCTTGATTTTGAATTCCAAATACAGTACATTCGTTCGTGCTTATCGAGTACTTCTTGACCCACTTGCGTTATTTCTGGGATTCTTACTTTTTACTACAATACACATACTTCTAATTATCATAGAACTACCTGTTATAACACAGTGTTCCCAGCTCTGGAAGAGTTCTTCAATTTACAATCCAAAAGCACACAATCTTAGTTAGTTTAAGGAACAAAATCAAAACGAGAAACAAATCAATATGGTAGGTGCCATAACATATTACGCAAAAGAACGTATTTGTAGTCTATGGGAAGCAGATAAATTTAGTAGAATCTTGGGAAAAACGGAACATAATATTACCATCTCAACTGTAATCAAAACTTCAGTGAATTGAACATTTGAAGGGGTCGAGCAAAATAAATTACAAAAGTGTCGTCATAAAGGGATTTTCATACAAAACTTCCTAAATGGACTTTACGAGTTCATAGATTTATAAGACGCTACCGTCAGAAACATTTCATAGTCAAGGATCTTGAAACAAAGTACGTCAAACGACAAGAATGAAGGGTTTCTAAGATGTATTTGGATAATAATCAATGTTTCCAATTATAAGTAACGACAACTAGTTGTCTTAATAAATGTACCTGTTAGTGTATCCACAGTAACCTGATGGGAATGGTTAGTCGAGAATCTTTATCTTGAAGAGTTTTTAACTTTCAAAACTCTTAGACTCATGGATTTATCTCCTTCATTCACGTCGATTATACGGCTATAGGCCCAATGAACAAAAACTTTAGTAATCAAGTGATACTGTGGTGAACGAGAACACAAATGGAGACAATCGAATGTATTTAAGCACAAAATTACGGAATCACTTAGTAAGATCTGAGAAGTATACAGTAAATAGTTCGTTTGCAAAATACCAATCAGTCGTCTCAAACATCACTGTTCTTTCGTTTCCACACCGATCACTATATTCTTGTCCTATTTTCGACCTTTTTAGCCTTCTGCCATTGGCATCTCACTTTCGGCTGGTGATATATACTACTTACATCTGTCGACATCAATAGCATACACCACAATACTAGTAGAAACAAAATTAGGTATGAGCATTACAAATATCTAAATAGTTTGTAACGAGGTTTATACAGTAAACAGGTGTCCAAAATCGTTCATACGTCGATCAGTTTGCTGAGGGTAAGCACTCAAATGAGAAAAGACATATTTTTTAGAATTCGATAACCCCACGAAAATTACTTGTTAGGTCACTGAGACGAGTGAATATATTTCTTAACTCCTACTTTCTAGGGTTATTCAATTCACTGAATCAAATAGTAGCAATCAAGCATACAGTCAATAAATATAGTAACCAAACACACTGAGGAATTTTTATGCACTTTCAGGTATACCGTGGAAGCAAATTGTTTATTTGCTGACCACAGATTTATTCTCATAACAATCTCTGGCTTTTTGATTAGAAGATTGGAATAAATACTATTTTATTATCCACAAAACAGTTCAATGAATTCTGTTTACAAGTAGAAAGGTGACATCGACATCTACAGTGACCAATACATGGACGGTCGTTACTTGGCTTATGAATATTATTCGTTTATCTTTTCCAGTTGGTAGGACCACACAAAACGAATATTGTGCAAAATACCATTTCACTGTCAGTCGTCATGAACAACAGTTACTCACACAGAACAGCAATTATCTTCAGGCAATAATTTACAGAAAATTGTACGGATTCATGACAATGATAAGTACTGTGGTGTGCTACAAATGCAGAGAAAAATAAGTAGTGTGTATCAAGAATTTGAAGTAGGATTTCTACTGACGTAAGAAACAGGAGTGGGAGAACGATGGAGCTTGTAAGGAACAACTCAAGGAAAATGTGCAAACGGTATATTCAATGTGTTGTTTTCATATTTCACAAGTGCAGTGTGTGATTTCTTCAAAACAATGCAATGATTTACTCTGACCAAGTCTTCGTTTATAACAATACCGTCGTAACTTCTGATTGTTGAGCTCTTATCATCTTTTGCATTAACCACGATAAAAATTTGTACTGGTCGACAGAGCGGGAAACAGACTAAATAAAGTGGACAAACAATGGGTTCGAAATCTGAATTCCGTACGAACGTCTTTTATCCGAACACTTTAATGTCTTTGATAACATGAATGGAAATTTCGGTAGATTTTTTACAGTCTCAAAACTGATTAACCACTAATTATTCGTACAGTTAAATGAACCCGTTGTAGCTCAACTTAAAGAACCATGAAGATGAGTTTTAATCTCACCCTTTTACTGCTCATGTAGCCATGAACATATAAACACTCTATAGTTTCTGGTAATCAATAAATCTCAAAAATTACACGTCAGCAAGTTTGAATATAATAAGTTTCATTTAGTTAAGGTTAACATATTTATCTAGCCTATTATGATTAACTTCTCCTTAGGAAAATGTGGAACAGCTGATATCACTTTAAAGGGAGAAAAGTGCATTAACAGACTGAAATTGTATTAGGAACCTTATTAGTAGGTATCAGAGACAATGTTTAGTACATTTTAATGTTAGTAAACGGAGCAACCCATAAGGCCTATCTCGTACTTTTGAAACGTATTAGCTGGAAGTACATTAGTCCCTGTGGTGATATCCACACTAAGAATCGAACCTAATACCTGCTATTGTTAATGTCAACGCTTTGCTCACTAAGCTAGAGGGACCATATAGCTACTAACTTGTTAATCACACATACTGTTTATTCGCAAGTGTTGACAATGTCCTGTTGTCAACGGGCAGGACTGGATTTTTTTCAGTTTTTGTTGTCATATGTTAACCTTGAGTGAACACCAAGAAACACTAGTCGAAATCTAGTTCCAAATGTTAAAAATAGAATATAACAAACCATTGAGACTTACAATCTAATGTAATGACTTCTAATTTTACTAAATTTCTAAGTGACAAGGCGACGGATGAGTACTGTTTCGACGGAGGTATGTTTATCTTTCAAACCTATACTTACTGCTTTAATGCTGTAGATGTATTTTCACAAAACTAAATAACTGAAGTCTGGACGAGTTACTGGATGTTTGGAGAATAATAATAAACGGGTCACAGAACCATAGGTGAACAAATGTTACTGAGTATCGTGGAATCGTATTTGCTCTCTTGTAGATTAAAACTTTACCTAAAATAATAGAGGGTTGTTTCCCTAGAAAACCAACTTCCCCAGCTTCAGTGTCTGTGATGTATCGCGATGTATTATTAATGGGATGCAGAAATAGAGGTGGGACGTGATCTGAATCGGTGGACCTAAGAATGCAACTGAGTTAGCCGTTTTGATCTTTAAGCCAATAGACAATGAATCAATTTTTAATACGAGTTAAATACTAAAACAGTAAAGAGGGTCTATTTGTTTTAAAAAAATTGTTACATAAATAAATACATAGAAAAATAGAACAGAAATGGGTTCTGGAACAAAAATAAACCATCGGTACATTGGCACACAATGCAATACGGCCCTGAAACGTTATGGTTTTTTTAAGAGCAGCCTACTAGGAAATTATGACAACTTTATATCATCGGTTAGGAAGTCGGCGAATCCTAAAAGAAAAATAAACAAAGGAATTTTCAGAAAATTTAAACAATAAATAAAGTCACACTAAGTAAATATTTAGAATGACTGAAACAATGATAATGTAATACTTCTAACTTACCTCGATTTCTATAACATCTCTTTCCTCAAATTTATAAGATTTGGGATATGTTGGGCGGAAATCTGAGTCATTCGGTAAATTTTTTGAAATCTGAGTGTTATCTGTTTTACTGTTATTAGTTATATTCCCATCACTGAAGGAAACCAATGTTGTTAACTGTACACGTCTTTTTTGTTTAGATACAGTTGTGGCACCATCGACAACAATGGGATTACTATTAATGCTGAAATGTAGATTGTTAAATGGTGTATAAGAAAGTTAAAAACTCAATACATTTAAAAAGATCAATTATTAAGTTATTAAATTGATAATTTTAATGTCCGATAAAAATGGATTGTTTACGAGGAATGGATAATGCCCAATTATTAGTGATGAAATATAACTTCTTTAAATCACACATTATAATTATCATATCAATTTAAAGCAAGTTTCTAATCCATTACAGAGAACTGAACAAAAGTATACTTTCAAAAGACAGTAATTACAGACTTCAAAACATAAACTTAAAATCACACCCCATTTGTAATTCACAAATTTATCATGTTTGAAAGCTTAATCACACAAGCAGTCGACAATACTAATATCATTAACTTAATGATTATAATTATAAGCAAAGATGGATGGAATCCAGGCCGCGCGTTTCGTCCTGTTTGCGACTCGCCAGCCGGAAATACCTGCATAACATAGTTAATGTTCGCTCCTGGATACCACTGTTAGCCACCACCCATCTTTGTTTATAATGCTTTTGACCTAAGGCAATATTGAGGCAATCCGCATGGGATGCACACATGCTGATTAATTGCAGTCCTAAATATCAATAAGAAGATTCAAACAAATAATACAAAAATGGAATAATGATTATTGAATTCATGTATCAATCTAAGCTAGACCACCATTGAAAACCTGGAAGCACCAGACGGCCATTTCGTCCGAGTCCGGACCTCCTCAGCAGTGTGCATCCACGATCCCGAATGACTCGAACCCAGGACCTTCGGTTTCACGCACAAACTTTAACCTCAACACCACTGAGTCGGCATCCAACGGTGTTAATGTCTAACTTCAACCAATCCACGAAATTGCGCGATCATCTTCCATTGTCTGAGGTAGATACCTGTCTCACACCCGACACGGATTGTACTCCACTGGTCACGGCTTCTAACTAGAATTACAGGAAATAGATCTTGAAGCCAGTCACTAGTGAGCACATGATGATTATTATCAGGATGACGGTTTATGCAGGTTGTACTAATTTTAATAGTTGAATTCATGGTCTAATAAAAAAAACAATTGTCTAAACTAAGTGTACATACAAGTAAGATTTGCTGGGAAATTGATCAAACTCAAAATATATAGCTGCGATTATTTTAGAAATAAGAAATTATGGCAATAAAAAAGAATACACAGTCGATTGATAGAAACAATAAATTTACCTTGATTCTGATGACTTTGCTTCAGTGGTTAATTTGTTTGAGTCAGGAACTGTGGCAGATGAAACATTAGATTTTGGAGGAGTGTTTGCTTCCTTGATAGCGTCGTTAACTGCATCCCCTACTACGGATGATAGCATTTCAACTTCGTTAATCTGGCACTTATCTGTTTCACTAACAGCATTGTCGATTGAGATCGCCTGTGGATTAGGCGCACCAAACGTACCACGATAAAATGCGCCAAGTTCACCATGTGCGAAGTGAATCAGAGAGCAATAACCATCAGTAGAACAGATTACAACTAAATGCCCGTCTTTAGACCATGATGCATCATTTAAAGCTTGATAATGAAGCTGAGAAACCTGAAATAAACAAAAATATTTTGACTGACAGCATATAAGCTGGTAATTAAGTATAGGTTAATCTGATGAAAAAACTTTGAGCTGCATTAATTAAACAAGATGACGGTCCATGGTGAAAACTACTTTCGAATCAAACAATTTTCATCATAAAACACCTGAGTAAGTTATTAATATTGTTTGAGCAGTCATATATAACAGTTAGACAAAATATTGACATGTAAGTGTATATGCACGTTTATAGTTAATAGATATTCTAATGCGAATCGCTATCTTAATGACCAACATGATACAACGTAGCAATAAGTTGTACAAATTATATTTTATATAAACCGGTTATAAATGCTTTTGAAAGCAAACTCTAATTGGGATATGCCAATCTGCAAGTCAGTATATTAAAGAGTGAGATTTTCAGTTAGATATACACTCTTTCTATATGTTATTCATGTATCTTGAGAACAAACAGATTCTTGAGTTGGACTGAGATCAGTGGGATCGAACCGTTTATTATTAGGGCAGTTTAAATATCTACGCTGATTATTGACTTATTTCTTTATATTGACTGTAGCAGCAGCGACTTCTTCTCTATATAATAACATAAAAACCATCTCCTAACTAATGACTCAATCATCGTGAATAATGACCGAAGAATAGTGAATGGTCCACAAACTCCTTCCAGTCAGAAGATAAAAATGACAGCAGATTAATTCTTTATTGTAATCTATTCATTCATGACTCAGAACTTATACAGCAATACACCATAAATATTTGACCGCACAGCAACACAACTATTAGTCATTCAGGTTATACTCAACACAGAACCAGGTACAAAACAGTTAATAAGTTACATTGTATACACGACTGTCATAAGTGATACAAAAACGAAGCAATAGAAATAATTAATTAATCAATTATAAATTTGAAACTGTAAGACGCATAAAAAAGATTTATAGGTCAAACAGAAACTTATAAATAGAACATAAAAATAAGCATATAATCAGTATACAACAAAAATATAAATAAATCTCAACGTTTCTCAAAACCTCTTCCATATGACAGTTAGTCAACAATCCTTTAATATAAACATATTTTATATTTTAATTCCTAGTGTTCATAATGTAAAGTTGTGTACAATACAAAACTCTTGTTTCTTTACAAGTATAGTGGAGAAGAATGGTCATAGGTTGTAAGAAAGCCTAATAATTACAGTATTTGCAACATTGACCTCAAAAAAAGATTAAGATGTTATTTTTGTAACAAAGTTACTTATGTCGACGATCAATAAAGTCCTAATTTTGATTTAGTCATAGATTTTTAAATCTTTCTGATTGCTAAATGAATGGCCACTAATATATGAAAATAAGTAACTAGAAGTGGTCGATAATGCATTAATGTAAGTAACGGCACTTATTATACTTGTAAGATATATTTCGACAAGATTTTAGAAAAAGTTATGCTAAAAACAAGTGATGAATGTAGCAAACACAACATATGACGACCATGAAATTTCATTAAAAAGACAAATAATTACTAAACGATATGAAACTATGCATACCTGAGCAAATGGTACAGTTTGTTGAGTATCATAAAAGAGAACACTATCTTCTAATACTAAGCAAAACAGCCATCGATATGCAAGATTAAACAAGCTAGAACATTGATTTGTGGCATTCTGATAGTTTAAGTTAACCTGTCTTAATTGGAACGGTTGAGGACAAAAGCGAACTGCAACAACTGGCTTAGAACCTGTTGGTAAACTGACCACAGGACGAGTGAAATTTGAACGTACAAAAATATGCGCTGCATGTTGAGGAGCAACCAGTGGAATGGTAGTATCTACTATTTTGTCTGGCTGTTCAAATCCATTGGCTGAAGAATTCATAGTTGAACTGGTTAGTCCAGCAAATGTAGCCTCTTCAAGATTACCTGATGGGCAAACAAGAAGTAAACCATCCGGACTAAAAGTAAGACGTCGAAAAAACGACTTCCAAGAATCATCCTATGAAATAAATAAATGTAAATAATAAATTGAAATGAAAACTCCACACACTTGAAACAGTGGATCCAGTCAATACATATTGATCTACCATCACAGATCCATTCTAATCAGAAATATAATATAGAATGGTATAATGATACAAATGAATGAAGACGGAAAATCAAAAAATATCTACGATGGTTACATGGAAAAAAAATTTCCTAATGATTCCTTTCAATTATCCATCAATGTGGTATAACTAAATTAAAAACGATGCATATAATGTAACCCTTCAGTCAGTCAGTCAGCTACACCGTAAGACCAGGCACATACATGCATCGGTCCAGGTCACCATACCTCATTAACACAACAAGATGGACACCGAATTTACGGAGGTAGTTAATTCAGAGGTGGTAATATATAAAAGAAAGATTGCAATAAGGATACATTACAGGAAGAAAGAATTAGTTCGTAGAAAGAAAGATATGAAGTGATTTTAATCTCTTAGTTTAAGGGAAGACAGGGAGTGTATACACCGACGCCATTGTGATCGATTCTGAGCCATGTCACCAAGAGTCTCCAACCATTGGTTACGATAGTCACGCGGACCCCAACCAAGTAGTCTGCATCTACCAACATGGCTAAGACTAGAAGTTAGTGTCTTCAAGCACTGATGCCACGTTTTGGTTTGACCGCCCCTAACTTTCTTCCAACCATCTCCAATACCGGATAGCATTGCACGTTGTGGTAGTCGGTGTTCAGGCATACGTAACACGTGGCCCAACCATCTCAGTCTATGAAGATTCATAACCTCATCAACTGATTTACCATCATTACCTGTTACCCTGCGTCTAACCTCACTATTACTTACCCGGTGATCCCAGCAGACGCCAGCAATATTTCTAAGGCATCTGTGGTCAAATACTTGTAGCTTACGGGTGTCTTCTACTCTTAATGGCCATGTTTCGCTGCCGTAAAGTAAGACAGAACGGACTGTCCCGAAGTATACTCGTCCCTTTATTGATAGACGGATATCTCCCGATCGAAGCTGCTACCTTGACGCGGTGGTCGGGCTTGCCTATCGTGATGACCCAACAGAGCTATATTGGCTGGAACATATGTTCCTGCAGGTTCTACCATGCCAGGCAGGTCGATTGGTGAACGGTAAGACTAAAAGCAACAACTCAAGGTCTGAGGGCGAAGTCGTACTGCTGACTGTAGAGAGGTGTGACAGCAGTAAGGGGTTTCCTTCGGACAACCAGCATGACAGCGATGCTGCCTTCCCACAAGGAGGGGTGGGGTTAGAAAAGGTCGACCCTAAAAATGTCACACCTTACCTTACCTCACGGATTTCCGTCTCCGGCGGTAAGGCCCTTTGAAGAACGGAGCTAACACGTCAAAAACCTTCCACAAAAAAGTCGTGCGCGACCGGCCTCAAGCAGTTGTCCCTTGGGCTCTGCGGTCACGCTCCCAGGTCGTCAAGACCAAAACTAATCCAATTTCCTTTTCAGGTTCCTCAAGAAATACCCTTCCATTGTGTGGGCAGCCGGGAAGTGACATCAGCCCTCATACCCGTACCTGAGACGGATATCTCACCTTCGCCAGCTGCCCTTCCTCGTTTCAGATTAACTATAGCCTTTTTAACTTCTGCTAGAGTTTGGGGACCTACTTCAATGTTCCATTCACACTGTCTAGGAATGGAGGGTAGTTGTAGAGTAGCTGAAGGCCAGCTGAACTGTCCTCTGAAATGTTCCGCCCATCGTTCTAAACGTCTGGACTGAGAACAGATGAGGATGTCGTCTTTTTCCGAAATAGTCTGACTTACACTTGACTTATTAATTACAGTTTCTTTTATTAGTCTGTAGAGCTATCTTGTGTTCCCTATAGTCGCCGCCTTTTCCATCTCTTTTGCTTTCGTTGCCCACCACTGCTCACGGTCGTTCCTTAGACTTTTTCTAAACCTAGATCTGATTTGTTGTCGCTCTTCATCATGTTCGGAACCTGATGGGACGAGTTTACGAGAATCCATCAGTGTGATAGAATTTGAAGAAATCCACTAGTTCTTTGTAACTCTGTGGTTTACGTCACTAATAGATTTCATTGCTGTTTCCACAGCTGTTTGTATAGCTTTCCAAGCAACATCTGGGTCAGCCTCGTTTTCAGAACTATCTAATTGTGACCTCAGTTGTTCCTGGAACCTACTTTTGGTTTTCTCGTTACTCAACTCAGTTCTAATTGGTCTTTTTAATGTGGCTTTTTTGCCTCCAGTGAGGCGCAAGCAGATGCGTGCCCGTATTAGGGCGTGGTCGGAGTCCAATCAGGTACTCCAGAATGAGCGACAATCTTCTACCAACCCTCTCCAACGATGACTGATGGCAATATGGTCTATTTGAGTCCATCGTTGGTTTGGTGTAGGGGGTCGCCATGTTAGACGATGTCTCTCCTTATGCTTAAAATTTGTGTTTGCTAAAAACAAACGATTGTCTGAGCACAGCTGCAGCAGACGATCACCATTATCTGTTCGCTGTGCCGGTATACTAAAATACCCACCTAAATGCCTTTCTGTTTGGTTTAAACTACCTATCTGGGCATTAAAGTCACCTGCTACGAGTACTATGTCCGAACGTTTAGCTTTCTGAAGAAGTTCAGATAGCTTTCTGTAAAATTCATCTTTCATTTCATCTGGGCTGCAGTCGGTGGGAGCGTAGGCAGAAACGACAAAAAGGCAACGACGTGTGTCCCTATCCTTCCGAGTTTTTACGGAGCTGTTTAGCCGAACAGCACATAGACGACTGTTGACGGGGATCCACTCTAACGGTGCTTGTTCCGCTCTCACGCTTAGTACTATCCCTACTCCTGCCAGTCCACGAGAGCTGGCTATCGGGTCACCAGATACACAGAGTGTGTATCTCGTTGGCTCTCCGTGTTGCCGAGGTGAGGTCAAGTGAATGACCACACTGGGATCCTGTATGCGTGTTTCAGAGACACAGCATACATCAATGGTACGAGATTCTAGGGTTCTAGCCAAGGAAGCCTGTTGACCGATTTGACATAAGGTACGTACGTTGAAGGCTCCAATGTGTAGTTTGAAGCGAGGTCTCAGTAGATCTGGGCCAGTGTTTTGAGCACTAGAATCGTTGGCTATGGTGACATTTGAGGGGGAAGCCGGAAAAGGAAGTTTAAAGGTGAAAGTCGATGTAGGAGGAATAATAGGAAGTGAAGAGGGAGGTTGATTATGAATACAGTGGTCTTGAGTGTTGTTAAAGGTATGAGGGCGGTTATCACTTCCCGGTTGCCCACACCGTGGGAGGGTTGTTCTGGAGGTACCTGAGAAGAAAATTGGATTAGAGATGGTCTTAGTGACCTGAGAACGTGACCGCAGTGACCAAGGAACAACTGCTTGAGGTCGGTCACACACGACCTTTCTATGGGCAATTTTTGTGTTAGCTCCGTACTTGTTGAGACCTTACCGCCGGAGACGGATATCCGTGGGATAAGGTAAGGTGTGACATTTTTAGGGTCGACCTTTTCTAACCCCACCCCTCCTTGTGGGAAGGCAGCATCGTTGTCATGCTGGTTGTCTGAAGGAAACACCTTACTGCTGTCACACCTCTCTACAGTCAGCAGTACGACTTCGCCCTCAGACCTTGAGTTTGCTGCTTTTAGTCTTACCGCTCTTCAACCGACCTGTCTGACATGGTAGGACCTTGAGGAAAGGTTGTTCCAGCCAGTATAGCTTGGTTGGGTCATCACGATAGGCAAGCCCGACCACCATATCAAGGTAGCAACAACGGTCGGGAATGTAACTCTTAAATATAATACAAGTATTGAAGCACTTAAATCGAAGTATAAAATATTGAGACTGGAAAGACAACAACTACTGCTATCATTAATTTAGATAAACTAGAAAGAAAAGACATTATTTCTATCCTTGAATGACAGGTAATAATCAACTTTACTACCAGTCATTTTCTAGTGACTTTTGAGAATTTTTACAATGTAGTATGGTTTTATAAGAAAAATCAATAGGAATAAGCTAAATGGTAATGATAATAAAATTCCTTTCACAAGTGATTAATTTGTGAGTGCTTCTGATTTAGGGTAAGGAAAGCAACATAACTCAACTGTTGAACTCTAAATAATCACAAACCTGTAATATACACATATGGTCATACACCAGGTCTTACATTATCAATTAATCCTGTTAGAACTAACTAACCATAAAACTACAAGCGATTGTTTAATCCAGATGAAGGGAAAACGAAATTTATTATAGGTGAATTTTCAGTTCTACGGTAGAAAAAAATGTGATAAAGACAAATCGATGACCATTATTTCGTACAATATCGCCAAAGATGTTTTCAATGAAATAACGAAGAAACTCGATAAGAAATAATCCTGAAAAATCAACAGATTACTGATACTAGCCAAAGAACTGGTTACAATATTAACCATTCCTTGTAGAATATCACTTAAGAAATTACTATATATTACTACTAATTATTAAAATAACACTTTCAGCTAATATTTCCACTAGAATTTGGTTATTTCCTACAGATTTTTAGACTTGCATACAAACGATTGCTTTAACACTCCTGTTATCATTCTCACGTTTATGTAAACTAAAGGAGTTAAGCAAATGACCGATTGTATCAGTTGAAAGATTCTTTTATTTGTCTAGTTTACGAGAAAATATTCTTTTCTTAATTAAACATTCTTTAACTTGTAACAAATAAAAGATGAAATTACTAGAAAACAAACAGTGAGATAAAATTAGAATAAATCTGTTGAACTACTTGTAAGTAGCAAATAAACAAATATGTAGCTAATTCATTTCGTATCATGTATATGTCGACTGAAAAAGAGTGCCTCATTTCATTACTTGATATTCATTTGGAATAAAAAAAACGGTAATCCTATCTATTTAGTGTGACTAAACTAGATAGAAAAGGAGCAGAACTCCATGATTATCTATAGAAAATTATAAATAAAAACCACTTGATCATATGATTAGGAAACAAGCGTCATGAACAATGCTTCTCAACATGTAAATTTGTGATACAAATATGAATGAGAAGTTTACTATATATATATATATATATATATATATATATATATATATATATATATATATATATATATATATACATTGCGGTAAACAATACTGGTAAATAATGAAGTATGCTTTCCCTTTTTGCTTGACTCACTTGCATGATGTCAGATTAACTATTATGTATTTTAAAATTTATTCATAACAAAGTGCATCTGATGAACGTACTTGAAATAAACGTTGTTTTCCAGCTTTAGACACATGTGCTAAACAATTTTTAGTTCCAGCATGATATATCCGACAAGCTCGATCACTGCTTAAACTGGCGACATAAAATCCTAATGGGTCCCAAGCAACACCTTGTACATAATGTTTGTGATCACGTAGAATTAAGGTTTTGATTGTAGCTTGACTGGTATTTGTACTTGGGGCAGGTGCATTCTCAGATCGATTAGAATGACTGTTCTCTGGACCCACTTCTCCAATACTGCTGAAATCTTCAGCTGGGAGAGTAGATGACGGTGATGGAATTAAGTCAAGGTGCCAAACTATGATTGAATGATCAACAGACCCGGATATAAGTGCACGTTCATCTGGAGACCAACAAACATCGTAGATATCTTCTAAATGACGTCTAATCCCAAAGAAATACACAACATGCATTTTAGATCTGACATAAAACGATAGGTAAAATATTTTTCGATCACAAAGGAAATGTTCATAAAATAATTCTAACACTCGGTATCAGTAATATTCCTTGTAAATGATTGAGGAAAAACATTTGCTTCAATGCACACCTGATGTTTACTTGATGAACATATTAAATGACAAGTCAATTCCATTTTTTAAAGAAATTCATACAATAATAATGGATGGTAGCTACAAATGAAATCTCTAATCAATCATATGAATTACACAAGATTTGTTTCAATCGCCCGAAAATGTACCACGCTTTTAGTACGATATTTGTCAGTTTGATCAGTGATAGATTATGTTGTTTTGTAGAAAGTGGGAAAAGGCAACTACTTGTGAGTAGACATTAAGGAGGGAAATTATATTTTTAAAACTTGCAGCGGTTAAATTTCAAATGAATTCAACATTTCGTTCAGTTATCTGGTCCAAGCTTTTTCAAGGAAATATAATAAAACATCAAAATTATCAAATATAAATAAGTACATGGTTCTCCAGTTAACTAATAATAAACAGGTCATCGAATCATGTTAACAGTGTTGAAAGTAAGAATTTGTTGTAGTGAGTATGAGACATTTAAGGTGTGTAAAGATAAGTTAAGATAAGTTGTATGTATATGTAAGTGGATCTGAGGTGTGAGTTAAAAATTTTATTGAATATATATCACCTCTGATCGGTGAATTTTTGGTGAAAACAGACAATTTTATAGGTGAAATGAGTTAAACATGTTACAGCAAGCATAAACTGAAGATAAGTAAAGAAAATTAAAGCAAATGTTTGTGCTAATTTGTTGATCAAGTTAATTGTTCATGTATTCAGAAAAACCAACTGATTATAAGAGTAATCGTTGTCGATCAGATAATAATACACAAAATACAGTAAAATGTAATCAGGAGTTCCGCTTTATTTAATAATTATTATTGGTCAAGGGATAGCTAATTGTATTTCGTCTTTCTTATTAATACTGTTTAAAATTGTTTACATGTGTAAGGCTTCAGCTGTTAGTCCCTCTTTGTACTAAAACAAGAACTTATATGAAGGATTATTGTGCCAGTGAAATCAATTGTATGACATAACTCTATTGAGCGTAATGCTATCGTTGACTTGTTTTCTAGTTCTTTTTCAGCTCATCTGAAGATTCAGGAATGTGCTTCAAGCAAAGTTTGTGTCCCTTTACCTTCACATTCAGTAACCATAATGTTTCATCTACATATATAGCATTACAATCACTACAACTGATTTCATAAAGACAATTTTATTGTTCCGCCTTTCGTAATGCATCCTTGAGTCTTTCTAGTTTAGAGCATAGAGCATTATTCGCTCGGAAGAGCACTGTTATATTTTGGGGATTTAGGATCTTTCTAATCTTTCCTGAAATCCATTTACGATATGGGATCACTTCTGTGTTAAACAATTCTCTTTTACTCATGGGTAGAATGATAGTAGATGAAATCTAGGTAACTTCAGAAGTATTACAAATATCAATTTTAAGCACACACATATGAGTTAACTTTATTCTATGAAAAAAAAATTGGAAAGTTGTGTTAGAAAATACAACTTGTAGTTTTCCAAATTTATAGCATTTAAAGTTGATTTTTATTATTGATTAATATCAACTATGAAGGCATTAAGAACCAAAAGACTTTGAACAACTGTTCGTCTAAAGGTAAGCATGATGCAAGTTCCGGTTTTTAACCCTGAAGAGTTGCGGTTACACATTGATAAGTCTTTTACTTGAACGCATGTTAATAACTTTCCAGCTATTTCCTATAATTCCAGATTATTTCTGCACTTAAACTAGAATAATAGAGAAAATTTGTGAAAGATGAATAGGAGCTTTACTAAACGATTAATCTATGTACAGAAAATTGAGTATATATAAAAACCAAAACGTCAAACAATTATTCACACTTTTTAGACTTCTCTAAGAAGTTTCTTTTCATTGATGATAGGATAAAATTCTCACAGCCTTTTCTCGGGCTTCTAAACTTTTTGTTAAGGGATATTTGTGGACACCTAAAACACTATTGAAAAGCGACACAGTATCACGAAACGGTTACGTAATACTCCTTATTTTTAATGGCTTTGGGACGAAGACCAACTTCAATCGAAACTTATCTAATAAACCTCTCCCATTCAAAAAATATTGAGCATGTTTATCAATTGAACCGGACATAATTTAAGTCAATGAAATATTTAACCTGGTGTATCTAGTGAAGTAGTAACGCGAACGTTAACGAGTCTGACATTTAACCACGAAATCGCAGGTTCTAAAACCACTCCTCCTACAACGATTTGAGCAACCGGGTAGTATCACTGGCCATCACAATTAGTGTGAGTCAAAGTCACCCATATAAATTTATACCTGGTAAACGAGTTCACAAGGTAATCAACACACTTGGATGAAATGTATATAAATCATGAACTACATTATAAGTTAACATAAATTTATGAACTGCATTCTGGGGGGATACAGAACGATTATGTACATGTTTACTATAAATCAACATAATAATCATAGCTCATGTGATATAGTGTCTGAAATTCCTGTATTTGAAACTATTTGAGTCATGATTACAACATAACTATTACACAGCATCCCAAAATATACCTAAATGATTACTGACCAGTACTCGATTTCGAGAAAATAAAATAAATGGTTGCAATCGAAAGAGTTCGGAATGTGTGTTACACTTATCCAATACGCAGTAATGCTCCAAGACTGCTTAACAACAGCAGTTGATTTAAGATCAAAGAGTGATTGTAATGGTTAAACGTGTTGACCACTTACATATAAATCGATTATCATCAATGATAAAATCATAGATCACATATACAAATACTAGCCTGATACATTTCTATTGATTTTCATTCTGTCAGTTAGCTATCATTCTCGTAACACGGCAAACACTAGATTGAAACACATTTTTAAACCAGGTTCTAAAATAGTTTATATGTGTCCTTACAATGTGTGTCAGCCCAAAAACATTACCAGAATTCATTTCAACGAGGCGAGAAAAAATCAATATGAGGAAAGAAAATCCGATCAAAAATAATGATATCAATAATAGCAGAGAACTTAAATTAAAAATGACGAAAATGTAACATGAGAATTCCATGATAATATGCCTCCTAGGATTTAAAGATGATAAAAGTAGAAGCAGACTGCATCTGCACTAAATCGAGACTTATTTTGAAGTAAGCAAACCGTCCACTAATTGGTTAAACCGTATTAAGTCCAACAGTATTGGTAAACAGTCGTTCATTTTGGTAGAATGTTTAATAGTATATAATTAAATACATACAGACATAAGTTTTCTTCAAAGCTTTAAACGTTAATGAAATCAAGTTAATATTAAGCTAAATTTTAGATTTCTGGGAAAGAACAGTACATTGTAATGAGGTCATAAACTTCGAATCGTTGAAATGGTCGATTTATATATTGTTATTTAGAGAGGTGTAAGTTAAAATAAGAAAGGTGATTGAACCCAAAAGTGACACTGATCAACAAAATGTGCTAACTATTGAAAATTGTAAAATTAGGATATAAATGTATGTGTACAGATTTTTAACACCCAATAAACATGTCAACATTAAGCGATATAAAATTATGTAAAGCGCTCGCGCGCGAGGCGGGGTCGAGGATGAGTACTGCTGACGAGTCCCACAATAGAAGGAAACGGCCGTCCAGTGCTTCCAGGTTTTCCATGGTGGTCTAGCTTCAATTGACTCATGGTCCCAACTATTGAAATTACTATAATATACACAAAAAACCCTACTGAAATTACGTCAAAATCAGTATTTCATTTAACTGAAATACATCATTTCAATTTCAAGTCATTAACAACGTTTTGTATTCAATGAAAATCAGAATCTAAGAAATGTAAACCATGAACTGAATTATGGAATAACAGTAAATATGTAACATAATTTAGAAAAAATATGCAGAGATTTGTATACTAACTTGTCAATCTAATCCAAATAGAACAATCAATTTAACTAAACAATTAAGAGAGATGAAGTCCAGTATGCACGAAACAAACTGTAAGTTGACAATCAAGAAATCTAAAAGTTTTACAAATTAAGATAGAAAATAACTCATTCCATGCATTGTTTACAAAGACAACCGCTACAAATAAGTACAGAGAATAAGAGAACTCTTGTTGTAAACAACGAATAAGTAATTTAACATCTAAACTAGTTACTGATACACATCAACACCATATTTAATAATTAATATTCTCTTTAAAGTAATTTATTTAATTCAAACAATTCGAAAATAGTATAATGTGAAATAGTTATATGAAATATGGATTTTCCCAACAAAGAATTATGTTAAATCATAATATTGATCATATATAACGCTTGGATATTCTAACCTTAGACTTCGACAAGGAATCCATATTTCCGAATTTATAGCATTATCATCATCATCATCTTCATCTTTTAAATTGGATGAATTATCTATCGAAGTGATCATGCCATTATTGGTATTTGTTTGATTTGACCATATTATAATGAATAAATCATCTCCAGCTGATGCCAGATAGTCACCTGAAGCAGTAAATAATGGTTAACAAAGACAATTTTTTTAAAGTGACATTTCATAAGGAAGTAATCGCTCCAACTAGAAATATATATATATATATATATATATATATATATATATGGAGGGTAAAACATTAATTGACAAAAGACTGTCAACATACTCAAGCGAATGGAAATTCAAAACAACGATCCCATTTACGAAAATATGCATTACTTTGGGAATCTGGAATACTTTAATTAAGTGGTGTAATGAATAATGGTTTCTGAAATGAGTCACACAAAGTAGAAAAGAGCATAGACATAGGATAGTATCAAAATTTCTGAAAAGCACCTACAGCACTGAATAGATTGCGAGTATTTAACGTGTTTTTTCTTAAAAGCCTGAAGAGGACTATTTACATGACCTTGCAATATATCTGTATATTTACCTGATAAATATCATGTTTGTAAACTGTTATACATTGTTTTATATAATTTAAGCAACAAGTTATGTAATTATATTGTATAGTTTACAGAACAATAAAAGATTCGAATATTTTGTCACCTTATATTAAGTGAAGAGAGTTGTAGGGAAAATATCTGATAGTTATTCATAGGGAAACTTTATATTTGATATATTTAAATGCCATATATCAATTCATCCGAGACAGTCCGTAAACCCGTGAACTGCTAATATCATTCATTAACACGATTGAAAGTGTATCTGACTATTACAACTGTGAATATTCAACTATACATTTCTAACCATAAAACCTGTTTAAATTATCTTTCATCCATAAATGTTCCGTTATATACAACAAATCTAAGACCGAAATATGATATTAATCATTGTCTACAATCACTAGGTACCTAGATTCACCATGTTTAAGTTATTGTTATTATTATTTTGTTTATAAAAGTGCATAAATGTAACCACACCTACAAATTAATGCACATTTTAATCATTCTTATAAACTAATCAAGACATTTGTAATTCAAGTAAACTACTAAACAATCAATCTACATTACAAATTACACAGTGAACTTATAATTCTAATATAACATACTCGAAATAAACGATTATCATGCAAAATAAACGACCGTATTTTGAAAGAAATACTGTAATTACTTAGAATTCTAGTAGCAAAATATATTTTGTGGAAAAAGGTGGGACCCTTTCAATAAATTATTGGATTCCTTCATAATATGTGATTTTAAATAAAACACAATGGACTTCTGACATAAGCTTATGAACATTCTGAATCCTATTCAAGTTAATTTTTATTCAATCATATTATAAAGAAATTTCACGGGTAGCAATCAAACAAATGATTAATTTCTGAAAACTTCAATAATGAAATTCATGAACTGATTCAAAGTGAACTTCATTCAATGACTTTCAATGTATCTTCATTTTGTTAATTAATGCATTATGACTTACATTCTGTGAGAATTTTTCTGTTCGTAATTTAAAATCACGTTTATTAATAATATAACACGTCTATTTATTTCCTTTTCATATCAAGTCGTGTTTCAATTTTGAAACCAGTCGGTTGAAGTGAAGTGAAGAGTCCAAAAATAATAAGCCATTGAAGAAGATATAATACATAGAGACTGGGAAAATAGTTTATTTTCCAGATGAATAGGTTGAACTTAATTTATTAAATGAATGTAATACCACTCCCACAAAATACTACGAATAATGGCAAGTTAATTATTTTAACCTAAAAAAATAAATTTATGTTTCAATCAAAAGAATTACTCTGGGGGTTAACCACAGATGCCTACCATTGTTATTAATCAAATACATGAACTGCAAGTCGCATAAACTAATGGGAATACTTTCGTTTCGAGTATCTGTGGAGGTATATCTGCTGACTTTAAATTTCTATATATATCCATGATAAAATTCTTCATACAAACTAGATTTTTGTGTATGATAGGGAGAATTAATCTCATGTACCGAATGACCCAGTACGACAACCAGATCACATGAAGATACTTACCAGTTGACAAAAAGTTGGACTAACGGATCGAAATACATACATCCTTACTTTTCTATAGCATTGTGAGTTGTAGGTTCCAAATAATATATTGACCGTACTAAACAGTAACCAATTTCCTAAGTTTGGTATAAAAGATGCTTAATTTCAATTAAAAATGAACTTCTAAAACAATACGTTACATTATGAATTGTTTAATGAGAACGATTAAATTATCGAGAAGACTCTTATTACAAATCTTAAACTAACTGTCGTGTGAACAATAAATATGATCCACAGTATGGTGTTTATATACGCATGAGAACGAGACTTATTTGGAAAGCATATGTGAAATAAATAGTAAAGGTGATTGACAGTTTTTACACTTAAATCTATTTTCAGCGGAACATTCTCCACTGTGTGTTTCCAAATTATCAACAAAATGAAGGTAGTACACAAAGAAATTAAACGTAATTCATTTACTACAAATCATCACATTAAGAGATGTAATAATAATGATTTATTTGTGATATCTTAATGAGTAGAAAATTGGATTTATGACACTCCAGAACTTAGTGTAAGCCAATTCTTTAGAGTAAACAAACAAACAAATAACCAGATTAACTCGGTTATTAGCATTCTAATAAAATGGTAGTAGTGTGGTGTGTGCTACTGATGTCGACAGATATCAGTAGTATGTATCATCAAACGAAAGTGAAATGCCTAGTGGCAAAAGGTTAAGAAAATCGAAGAAAAGAGAATAAGAACAGAGAATGATTGGTGTGGAAATGAAGGAACAATGATATCTGAGACCGTTGATTGACATTTTGCAAACGAAGTATTTACTGTATGGATCTTAGATTTTACTAAGAATCAGTCAGTCAGTAACAACGTAGAACTTCGTACGTACATACATCAGTTCGAGTTGCCACACCACATTAGCACAGAGACGCAGTTGTCGATTCAAATCCCGTGGTGGCAGAGGCGGTAAGATTATAAGCAGTAATCAGAAAGATTAGGGTTTGAAGATGTTATTCAAAGAGCATAATTCAGCGAAATAAATTTGAAAAGAGAAGAAAAGAGACAAGGAGGATTTAGGAGAATACGAAGAGTGGATGCACCAGCTATTTTACTAAGAGATTCCGTAATTTTGTGTCTATATACTTGGTTGTCCCCGCTTGTGTTCTCATTCACTACAGTAGTACTCAAAATTATTTCACTCATCAAAATTAGTAGGGAGTAACAACAAATTAAGAAAATCGGCAAAGTATTACACAGTCAGTAGTCGATTCCTATTTAACTAATTATTACCATTGGCTGCCATTCACCAAAGTGATATATTCAAAAATAACAATTATAAAAATATACCATAAACGAAGTTTTTGTACATAAATGATCTTTAGCAACCTGAAGGTGAAATGCTACAATGGATCAATGAATAGTATACACAAAAACTTTACCTGAAGGTGACCAACGAACAACATTGACAGGTTTTTCATGACGTTTTAATGAAGCCAAATAAGTTAAATGTTCGAATTGTTTGGAATCAGTTTTTTGTGTCGTACCAGGAGTATTAACACCAGGATCTTTTTTAGCTACCGTTAGATTAGTAGTACATTGAGATTCAGTTTGCTTTGTTGTTGTTTTCAAAACTCCAGGTAACCAATTCAACTGAACACGCCATAAACGAACAACATTATCACCACCAGCTGTTGCCAATCTTGTCCAATTCAAATCAGGATCGAGATCTTTAACATTTTTGAAATTTAATTCACTTAAAGGACTACGACTAGATGTTTGATTGCTACATTTATTATTGTTATCACTTATTAATTTGAGACGATTTTGTAGATCACATGAATATATTGGTAGCGTTTCATGCCAGGCTATTTCAGGAGTTAAAAAACGCATCTTTGAACTTAACAGGTATTCTTCTGAAAAGTATAAAATATAGGTAATAACAATAATGTTAGTAATGTAAAGCTTTCTTCGCGTTTCTATAAAAATTTGATGCACTTCAGTTTTCTTACTTATTGGAGAAATTATATTGGATAAATGTTAACGGTTTAATACTTTCAACAATCTGAATGAATTCCCGATTAAATAAGATAAATTTAGATACTTACATTTATTTAGTTAATTACACCGATTAAAATTACTTACACTACACTTTAAGAAAAAAATAGACCGAAAACAATCATAGTGAATACTATGGATAAAGCAGTTAATCAATTGACGAGACTGTTAACCTTCATTGATTAAGGAAAATAGAGCATCTATGATATAGATCGAAATCGGTTTTCACAGTATACTTGTCTTTATTTTGTATTTTCCTTTAAACCTTCAAGCAGTATCATTGTATAGATCTTTTTTTACTTTGTTTCACCATATATTCACTCTTTCGTTATTCGCTCTTACAATAGAGAATGTAACATGTGATAACATTAAACCTGTAAACTGTTATACTAGATTCTACGTTGTTAATCTCTGTATAGTGGAAAAAGAGGGAAATTAACCAATACTTTTTGGTTTTCAAAACAAACACATTTTTTACAAACATTAAATTTAAAGAAAAAGTCATCCCTTTGTTTTTTTCAAATAAACATCAACTACGTGGTGCAGTCACCTATATCCCAGGAGGGAAAATAAGATTACGTAAGTAATATAGAGCATCAATTAACTATATATATATATATATATATATATATATATATATATATATATATATATATATATATATATATATATAATCAATGCTGATTTATGTTTCAGATGATATAGATATTTTTTCTTGCTTTAACAACTTCCGTTTATTTATCAAAAGATGTCATTTTGAACAAAAAGAAATATATAAGATATAATCAATACCTAAAGTAAATATTAGATTAAAACAAAACTTTAATCAAATGATCATAAATCACTAAATCAATAGAGAGAATAAAACAGCATAGAAACATAAAAATTTATAGTACAAATGAGTTGGAAATAAAATATCAAATGTGAAATGAATTCATGTTAATGTAAATTATAAGTCAAATTTATTTGATTGATTAAAAGTTATGTAAGAGGTATGGTAAATGTTAATTTATACAAAAATCTTTGGAGATAATATAAGTATACACAATATTGATATTTTTTTTCAAAAAAATCAAGATTGCTTGATACAATAATGATCATTCACCATTTGTTGAGAGTTGGTTTACTATCACTCTGGTCGATGGATAATTTAGTTAGATCTCAAAACTAAATGAAATTTCGATTTTTGATTAAAGTATATCATTTTCAATCAGTAGGCCATATATTCGTAACAGGATACGTTAACTATAATTTGGGCAATCCCTATAGCTAAATTTATAACTAAGAACTAAATACACAAATTTGTGTTTGAAAAATGAGTCACAGTGTGGTGTGTGTTACTTATATTGACATAAGTAGTATATGTTGTTAGTCGTGAACAGGTCTGGCAGCAGAAAGACAAAAGGATCAAACAATAAAAAATGGAACAGGATGCAATTTGTATGAAAATACAAGAACAATGAAGTCTGGGTCATTTTGAGACAATTGGTGGACATTTTGCAAATTAAGCAATTACTTGATGATTGTTAGATTTTATTACCAAGTCCTGTAATTTTGTGTTAAATACATTCGATTGTCCCCACTGGTGTTCTTGTTCACTACAACAGTATTGTTATTAGAATATAAACATTTTTTAAAATATATAGTTCAAATCACAAACCATAAAAACAATTGCAAAGTCTTTTTCTACTGCAAAAAAGGGAAATTTCAAACAATAGAAAATGATAAATGTCATCGTTCGTGATTGTCACACGCTGAACGTTTTATAATAAATCAACCCTACAGGATGAACATATTCAAGCAGAAAATCTAAAATTTTATCGAATAAAATTTAGTCTTTTCATACAAACATAAATTGTTAGTACATGTATCACAAGGTCTACATAGAATCCTTCAAATCGAATTTCAGGTAATTAGGACACACTGACCGTAAAAAAAAACATCGCATATAATAAAAGCAGTTAGTCAAGCGCTGATTTGCATAGAGAAGTTGAAATTCACTGTCATTCATTTAGGTATTGAGATCAGAGAATCTGCAGAAACTGTCATGTTCGTGCACCAAAATGCGAACTAAACTATACTTCACTAGCCTTAACGACAGGTCGTAAAGCAAGGTCTATTTTCATTCGTGGAATAATGATTGATAACTTAGTGGGTAGCCATGATATATATATATATAATGTTATTTCTAATTTTACAAATCTATTCGAGACTACTGAGTGAAATTTTTTTAATTTACCAAGATTGAAATATTCGGTAAAATGTGGGCAAAATATCGATTTAGAGCCAATTTTACACGTTATGAGTAATAAAGATGATTCCTAGTGGTCGAAAATCGTTATACAAACAACTAATATAGTGAACAGTAAGACAATCAATACAAATAAACTGAAAAGTAAGATAGTTTCAATGACAGAACTAATGCCCTCAATTTATAAGTTGTAAGGTGGTTTAGACGACAAAAATTTACTGCACAGATATTTAGAACGGCAAATTTCTAGTCTAACAACATTTAAGAAATGGAATGCACTAGAAATTGCTTCAAGTTACAGCACAGCACTGTAGTGGTTAATTTAAAACCACTCAGCAATTTGCTCTCACAACACAACACAAAATTGAACCTAGAACCTCTACACTTCTATTTCATTAGAACACTGAGTCGAAATTTAATAGAATATATTTTTAACGTCAGTCATTTTGTGATATAGTGAATTTTTTTGTCACTCTAAAATCAGTAAACTTCGTATTCATAAATCGATGCTTCAAACTGATATCTTTGTGATCAAGATTACTTATAAAGGGTACAAAATATTATTAGAAAAACGCCGTGATTTGTTCCCAACTGAGATGTATATTGATGCTCCAACGCGACACATCCCTACATTCTACAAATCCATGATAATTTAGGATCAGACAAAAAGGGATGGTAAGTATTTGAAACACTTCATCGCTGTTATTCAGGAATGTAAATGATCAATCTCTATTGGGATATAAGCATCCCATTAGATCTACATTACCATATAGTCAAAGGTTTTACTAAAGTTGGACAGTGACTAGCAGTGGAATCCAGAACAAGTGTGTCGTCCAATTTGGGATTTGTCTGGATGCACCTTCGGCCCAACATTAATATTAATATTGAAACCCAAACCCACTACCTTTTGTTTTAAACGTTGAGTTATCCACTAAGCCACCAACTTGTCTAAAAGATGCAAAGGAATTGAGACCAAAGGCCCTGGGTTCGAATCCCGTGAGCAGGATCGTGGATGCGCACTGCCGAGGAGTCCCACAATAAGACGAAACGGCTGTCCAGTGCTTCCAGGTTTCCATAGGTGGCCTAACATCAAACGGTTCATGATCTCAATCAAAAAAAGAATTGATAGGAGTTTGAAGTATCTGTTATCATTCAGGAGTGAAATTAAAATCTTAGGTAGGTTACCATCTTCAACACCGAAAATTTCAAGTAGGCACGTGAATATTATTTAGGTGAAAAGAATGTGTATAGTAAAATGGTTCAGTGTATATGCTACATTGAAAATATAAGCTGAGTGTAAATAAACCCAATTAACTTGTTACAGCCTATATATATATATATATATATATATATATATATATATATATATATATACCTTAATTCTTAGTACATTTAAGAAGGTTTAACAGTGGAACTTAACTGACCGGATACATTCAACGAAGAAAAAGATCCAAATAATAAATATTTCAGAAAGTTAAATTAAACTAAAATTTGATTTTTTGTTAAAACATACATTTATCTATAGAGTAAGTTAATTATTTTGAACCAGTATTTAACGAAATCACAAACAAACAAAAAATGTTTTACGATACACTTCATAAAATAGTAAACGTACAAACACACATTCACATATCAACGCATACACAAATGTAGATTTTTTAAAAACACAATATATAATAATAATTATTATTATTAGTAGTAGTAGTAGCAGTAGCATAATGGATGATACTAATTATTTATTAAAGATATGAATTATTATTTTATTTTATGTTCAAAATGTTAAATAAACAAAAACTTCCATTATTTATGCATGTTGATATCATTCACCGAATTGAATATTTCAATATTTAAGAGAAGCAAGAGACCACAGCGACATTACATCACAGTAATAAAAACACAGAAATATGTATGAAATATGGATTGAAGAAGAAGTTCTACAAAATATAACAGATAATATAATAATATTGGGTAGAGATAGTTAGCTAGATAAATAAGTAGTAATGACGCCCATTTGTTCATCTAAACAAACAATAAAAGAGGATTGAATGATTTACAAAGCGTATACCGAAGAGACAAAACAAGTTGACAAAATGGCAATAAGATATTTTCTCACTAATACTACTATTGTTACTGACACCACTTACTGTACGTTAAAGACATACAAGAAAACACAAAGAATGCCATACAAGGAAAATAATGGAATTTTATGGTAATAATAGTGAATTGTGAATAAAATGTACACATATCGTGTATCTGCGAACTGTCTTTTTCGTTAATTGGTTAGAGTTCGAGATTTGAAACAATTATAAGTAGACACCTGATTACGAAAATATTGATTTAGATGTACACACCCACAGATACATACATACATAGATAACAGTATGGGTCAGAAAAACAAGGAAAATAGATTAAAACACTTGGTAAATTTGTAGATAAAATCTTAAAGCAACTTAAAAGCTTTACATTTTGATGAAATATCTATCCATTCAACTGAATAGCGAAAGCACTCACGCTTATCATCATATCAGTGAGTAAACACTTGTTAGGACCGAAATAAATAGCAGGACGCAGTGCAACAACCTTA